TATAAGGGTAAAAACAACTATAATATAGAATCATGTGTCATGTTGCGTCTAAATCTATTATCCACCCATCATAAAATTGTTTTTTGTTATTAAAGGTAATTACTATTTCAGTAAACAAAAATATGTTCATCTTTTAAGGAACTTAAAACACAACCTTACAAGGTTAATGTTTCAAAGTTCTCTATTCCATTCTTCTTACACAAACAATCTTTCTTTATGTGCACTTGAGATTCTTTTATCTTCGAGACTTTGATCTACCATAATTTTTACTATCAGTAGAGTTAGAGTTGTTATTGATCTACCTTGTTAATGTTTCCATTTGCTTCATGTTTTCCACCATATCTACCTTATTCGGATTCTTCTTTAATAATAACTTTAGAAACACCCTCAGAGTGCAAAATAGTGATGATGAATTAATGATACAACATTTATTCTTAAAGATATCGAAACCTACCATTAAAAGCAACAAAGAAAATCAGGTATTCAAATTTTTTAATATGGTCTATGAGGCTAACTAATTCAAAAATTGTATAATTTTTTCTTCAAGAATATTTTATATGAAGTGAACTAATCTCATACAATTTTGCGAGAATATCCCAAGTTTCCTTTATAATCTTGTTTTAAGACAAAATTGTATTTACCATTACTAAGTTTACATTTATGATAGCATCATAATTAATTTCATTCCACTTTTGTTATATGATGTTCATATACCTTTCTTCAGTTGTATATTCACAATTGTCTCTTTAGAAAAAAAAATATTTTCAATATCAGTAACAAGAAATTATTCTCATCGAACTTTTCCATCTTGTTTGTCATGATTTTAAATTGAATTATCTAACTTTAGCTACAATAATATTATCCTTTTAAAATAATGATGATAATAGATTATGAATTGACATAAAATAAGATTAAAAATAAAATGGATCACTCATACACATTTAAATATAAAATCTTTCTTTTATTTAAATATATAGTAGTGAATGGTGTTATAGTGAGTAGTGTATATTGACTATTTATGTGTGATTTTTTATTTTGATAGCTATATTTGTGAATGGTGTTGATTTTTTTTTACTATTCCTTATAACCTTTATTTTAGAAAGAAAAAAAATTAGAGCCCTTATTTTGGGTCTATATGAAGTTTAAAAATTATTTGGAAAGTCAATTGTTGCATATTGTTAAACAACCATAACTTTTTACTTATGTTGGATTTGACATTATTATATATTGATTTTAGATAGAAAAAAATTTTCAAGGCATTCATTCTAGATTTTAAAAAAAAAAGACCATTTTCTATTTTTCGTTAATTTATTTTGTGTTTTTCCTTCTTTTTTTCAAACTTTGCAAAAATATTCTACATATTTAGACTTTGAATTTTGATCTAAACTTTTTTGTGAGAGTTTTTCATGATTTTTTGGTGTTTTGCACAAATTTTCAGGTCATTTGGAGTTTTTCTGAATATACTCTCAATTTTACCCTATATTTGGATGTATATGGTCTTTATATGACTAGGAAACTAGACAAAATATAAACAATACCATATACAACAAACAAGTTTAACAATACCAATATCAAAAAATGAAAGTTAATCAAAAACCTAAAAGTAACCTTGAAGGTGGATTCACTTTCGAAATAAAGCATTGTTGTTAGTGAGGGAGAAAAGAGAACACACCTATGGTGGTCGCTGGTGGAGCTTCAATGAAGCACGAAAACACAAAATGAATCCATCAAAAACACAAATAAAAAGGTAATCAAGGTAGTGAAAACACATACATTTAAGGTAAATGACACAAAATTGACATTTGTTCTCCCTTGTACTCGTGAACAAAGGAGTTCGTTTCCCTGAAAGTAGTGGATGTTTGAACTCCAGGACATCAATGCTAAACGAAAAATCAATATCAATTGACAAAAACTAAAAAAATATCCAAACAAAGACAACATAAACACTTTTGTTAAGGAAAATTACACAAAATTTACCTTTGTTCTTCCTCACACTCGTGAATGAAGTCCATAGTTCAAGCATAAGTGAAATCACGAAAAAATAGTGTGGCGGTGTTGCTTTTAGTAAATAATTACAATGTATATAACGTAAAAAAACTCCAAAATACGGCATATTATACCTCTTTGATGTCTAAAACTAGGGCATTCAACGTCATATGTGGGTACATTTTCACATTCGCGCCAAACATTTTCATGAAATTTACCTAATATGACTTCGGAAATTGAGAATTTCGACGTCTAATTACCATATGGTGTTAGAAAAGAATAAATTCTGACGTTGAAATTGAACATCTATCTACAAAAATGTCACCAATCATTTTTAAAGTTGATCTTTTTCATATTTTGATGTTTAACGCGACACATGGAAGACTTATTTTGTCCTAAAAGGTGATTCTAGAGGTAGTGGCCAAAGTGATGGTAGAAGTGATGACGAAGATGATAAGGAGCAAATCGCTCATCAAAACTGGCATGGTCGTGGACAAGGAGGAAACCAACGAGGTCGGTCAAGTAAGTTTGATGTTAAATGCGATAAATGTGACTAGTATTACCACTATGCGATTGAGTGCAATTAGTCAAATGTTATTATTGTGGTAAGACCGGTCATATAATATTGTGAGGGTGAGAGAAAGGAGGAGACAAATATCTTTATTACTAAGGAAGCCAACGAAGAAATTGGAATTATATTGATGGCAAGAAGCCTGGATGTCGAGCTGCAAAGTGTGAGCCTGAATACCATATTGTAGAGCTGCATGACCGAACTGCCAAGCTTGGGTGCCGAGTTACCGAGTAAGAGTCCAGAACAGAGAAAAGAAAATTCAGACAGACTGTAAAGGTATCATGACAACTCGGTGGAGAGCTTGGAAGAGTTAGTGGAGAGCCCAGATTGGGGACCAAGTACTTCGTTTTTCGTAGACAGTTGGGTCAAGGAGATGAACCTTTGCTTCGACATACTCCTTGGAGAGAAGGACCACGAAGTTGAAGGTCTCAAATGTGAACTGAAAAGTCTTGTTGTGCAGTTCTAGAATGAGATGAAGCTTCAAGAAGAAGAGAAGAAGCTTTTGAAAGGTGAAAAGTTGTTGTTGTAGTAACAAAGAGACGTTTGAGATTTGAAAATAGAACGAGATTTGACGCTGCAGAGCTCTCGAGAATCACGTGCGGTAACTGAAACGTTGAAGTAGGAGATCGTAGCAGTGAAGAAGTGTTCATCTGAGGTTGTTGGTGGTGGTCCTATGTTGTCTTCTGGGGATGATGATGTGAAGGTTTATAGTGGGGTGAAAAATCATGTGATTGAACCGTCACTTATTAGGGGACCCTAAAGTCATTCTCGATCCTTATAAGCACAATTTGAAAGTGGAAATGGACTCAATTGAGGGATGTTTCTGTTTGTGTTTATCAATCTTCACATATTGAAGTTGAAGACGTTTCTTCATTCCCGGCGAAGGATGAGGATTACCAAATCCCAAAAATGAAGTTCTAGAAATCTCTACGTGGTGAAAGTGAACGACCGTCACTGTTGGGAATACTTGGATTGAAAGACCTTGTAGGACAGTAGTTGAGGCAGCAGTTGAATCATGTAGGAATGTTGGAGTGAAGATCAAGATGATCATAGGAGATAATGTGCACAGTTAAAAATAAGTCGACCATGAAACCAATTGTTACTATTACTGAAAGGAGCAAGTTTGATCTGGGTTAATGCAAGAAGAAAGATGAAGTAAGACAAAATTTAAGTTTTTGGAATAATTTTGTAGGAATAAACTTTAATTTAAGAGTTATTAATTATTGAGAGTGGTAGTGATTATTGCATTATGAAAACAAGAGTCAAGAAATTACTATGCTATATTTTATAATAATTAAAGTATTTAATTTGTAATAATTGAGAACATCATGATTCATAAATGAAAGACGTAATATTAGTCCTCTGGACTGTAAGTCCTCTGAGATGGTAAGTTAAATTGGTAAACTGCATTTTTATCAGGAAATTATAAAAAGATCGTGTCAATTCATCGTCTTATATAAGTTCGTTTTACAGTGACGACTTTATGTGATTATTGTACATTCAGACCTTGTTGAATAACAAAGAAAACTGAGATATATTTTACGCATGAAAATGTCCCATCAGTATTTCAAATCTAGTTCGAAAAAGTAACATTATATTATTTGTAGACAAACCTTACAAAATAAAAGTAATAAACAGCATCCCATGGTAAAAGCCTATGATTTGTTTCAGCGTACAACAGCATTAAGAAAAAGTTGATGATACATGCATTGCAACTCAGAAAAGAAAAACAGTGGAAAGCACGTGGTTCATGAAATACCCCACACACACCATTTTGACAGTGTAAACACTGATTTTTCTCTTTGCCTGCAAACTAGTTCAGTTTTACCGTCTATTGCGTATGTCCAAAGCAAGAGCCTTTAACTTGTAATCAAGAGCTTAGTTTATGCAGTAGACACAAGGATTTTCAAAGACCCCACTCAGCCACTCACCTGTGTTTCATTTCCTTTATCTTATAAACTAAAATTTTGCCAAATAGAACTAAATCACTTATGATATGATCTACGCACTAATTTATGCTTCAACTATTCCTTCTTCAACACGAAGATGTAAGTTAGAGATTTCACTAGTTATATAACTTATAAGGGAGTTAAAGAGCCATGCAAAATGTTCCTTCCGGTCAGTCAAAATTGTTTGAAAGTGATTAAATTGGAAAGTGGTATGTTTTAAGTGTAATATACATTACTTTAATCTTATAAATCCGATAACCGTTTTTAAGATAAAATTTCCATTCATTTATATCAATAAATAATGTATAATTTTCAACATATCTCCTCTTATAAAAACATATACGTTTTGATACGAGATTAGATATTAATTAAAGATGAACGATTATATAATAACAAATAAAACAATAAATCCAACCAACAACTTTTTGTTAACAGAACTTTTAACCTATATTATATTAAGAAATGAATTTTAACTCAAACTCAATTTTATAAGACATTAACACTCACTGGGAATTCATTAAGCTTAGATTTGAGGAGATAGCCATAATTAGAATCATAGTCATAAACTATATCAGGTATGCACCAAACACTCTCTGTAGTGTTGTTTTCTTACACCACAGCCAACTCCTTCATTTTGGGTCTTGATCTCTCCTGATGAGAGTCCGGAGATATGGCCTTCCTTTTGCTAATACTGTTACTGTTATGGTTACTAATGTTAATGATGACATTCTCATTCTCCGAGTCTATGCAACTGTTAGCAGATTCTTTTTCACAAGAGTTTTCAAGGGATTTCAGAAAGTATGACTGAAGCTTGTCCAAATCTGATAACTGAAGAGGCTTCAGCAGAAACTCTTCTGCCCCTCCTTCCAAGCACCTATCAACAATGTCATAAATTTCTCAATTACATAAACTATTATGCCATTAGTATCAGTGACAAGAAAAAAATCCGTTTCCTTGATGAATTGGGTGTGTTTTAATGTCACAAAGTGATGTTTTTTAAGGACTGCAGTGCAGCTAATTATGGTAAATCTAAAAAGATCAGTTTTAAAAATTGCAAAAAAGAGTTAACTCAAATTCCACAAATGAAGCAAGAAAAACTCACATGCTGATTCTGGAAGGTACATTTTCTGATGACATAATCACGACGGGAACATCTTTCCAAGAAGATCCCTGCAGCGGTAAGCAATGTCAAAACAAGAAAGAAAGGAAAACAAAAAGAAGGACCAAATTAAAGAAAAGGGAAAAAAAAAAGTGAAAGCAAACTTAGATCCTGAGATCTGTAACTTTTCCTTTTTCTTTTATCTTTCTTTTTACTGAAAACTACATTATCACACACTGGCTATATCTGTATGCAATGGTGAATAAAAAGATGAGCAAGTTGAAGAAGCAATGTGTATTGGAAATATTTATGATGGGATTAAAAATTATTGTAAGTGTTGATTGAAGGAGAAGGGAATGTTTGGAATCTTTTAGAGAGTGTGAGTACATGCTATTGAAGCTAAAAAAGACAGAGGGAATTTCGGGAAGGTGTCGGGGAATAAGAGTTGTGTGTTGACCTTGACTCGTTTGAGTAAATCATAGCCACTCATCCCAGGCATGCAATAGTCTGTCATGATCAAATTCACTTTGATTCCCTGAAATTCAAAAGATGCAACAGAAAGTACAGGTTACTGTTTGCTATTAATATGGAATATCTCTCACCCCACTACACATACGTATTACTGTCACCAAAAATTAAAGAGAGAAATGACCACGATCACCTACCTAGCTAGCTAAGTACCAAAAACCATATTCAATGGTCTTTGCCCAAACCTTTTTGTACCCGTTTTTCTTTTCCAAAAGACACCCTTAACTTAAACAAAAGAAAATAAAAACAACTGATGTAGACAACAGTAGATACGATTCTGGGAGCGTGCCATTCGTGCATCAAAACAACGATTACGCCTACGTACACGCAATAAAAAGCTCTTAACTTTTTCCACAAATTGTATTATTTTTCATGCCATGCTTATGGGATTACAATGCCGTCGGATCTTCAAGAAAACTTCCACAAACAATTATGCAGAACAAAGGTAATAATATTTTGTTATCTTATGCAAAATGGATACATAATATGCATGCGCGATCTTATGCAATGGTGGTGAAAGAGAAAAAGAAAGTCACTTTTTATGACTCTTGAGATTAGTCTTAGCCGTCCTAATAAACTCGCCCTATACGTGATTCCACAGAACTCAATGTTATTTACATTAATAACAATTTCAGAAACTTCCTCCTGCTTAATCACAATATACGTGTACCTTTTGAAGGTAATTTTTGGGGAGAAAATTAATATATCCCCACAGGTCATCTTATGCCCTATTATACATTACTTATGATAATTTATTCTGGCAATTGAATGCTGTTACTTAAGTGGAAGAAAACATGAAAGGAATAACTAATGCTGCATTACAGCGAAAAATGGAAGCCATTTAGAAGTTGTGGCTTGTTTTGAAAACTAGTTTTGTAAGCGAATTAAGCAAGAACATACTTTCTGTGAGGGGAAAGAAAAATGTCCATGGAATGAAATTACAACTCAAATCAAAGGATTGGCTCAAATGTAGTACACAACAAGCACACATGTCTTAAAACCATTGAAGATAAACAAAGAAAAGAACAGACTGAGATTATTATTACCTCTTGCTGCAACGGTTGAGGTGGAGGAGGAGATGATGATTCTAAAGAGGTTGAAGAAGTAGTATCATGAAGGTCATCAACCAACCCGAGATATTTCAAAGCCTTGTCTCCGGAGTCCACGCAGGTGACTGTTTAACAAATAATTAACACAACCATAAACCAAATTAGCAACACTCAACCTGAGAAATAAGAGGGTAATGGTAGCAACATTAGAACGATAGGGAAGAATTAAAAGAGAAAAAAAGAAAAAGGGTACATATTGTAGGAACCTTTGCATGAAGAACCTCTTAGGAGCCTCTCCAAAAGCTTCCTATCTATGACACTGTCGTCCACTGCCAACACATGAAAATGTTGCTCCTGCGGTTGCGGCTGTTGTTGCAGTTGTTGTTGTTGTAACTGTAGTTTTCTGTTATCCACAAACTCCATATCAGGGTTGAGAATAAGCTTCTGAACACTATCTATATGTTTACTTGCAATATATATAGCTGGTTTAAAATGTATCAGTAATTCAGGGAGAGAGAGAGAGAGAGAGAGAGAGAGAGAGAGAGAGAGAGAGAGAGAGAGAGAGAGAG